ATTCATTAGCTGATATAGCTTTCTCTAGGCTTCTTCAAAACTGACAGTTGACCAAAACCACCTACAGCAAAGCACCTGAGAAACAATTACAAAGCACCTGAGAAAGGAAGCTGAATACAATCTATGAAAGGAAAATGAATACTACAATCAATTACAAAAGATCCCTCACCAGGAATCCAGATTTGCTTTGGTGATAGTTTATTATAGAGGTCCCCCTGTTTGTTTGAGGGAGGGGGGGGGCCCTTTACTAATCAGGATCCAACATTAATATCATTATACCGTAGCTACATTATACATGTTCTTGAAGTTTACTATGTACTGCAATAGCTTCAACTGACCAGATTTCTGTTTGGTTTTGAACTGCTTAATGTTCACCATGTGTCCTTAAATTCTTTACCATTCTTCGACCGCATCCCCTCTAGCTAGCCGCACAATTCGGAATATCCCCAAGACATTCAATCCATGAGATGATGATAAGCCTCATGAATAAAGAGAAAAACCAAAGAACACCCCTCAACCGTCTGACTGAAAATCCCTAGCCTATGGTCACGTCGTCTTCCCTTCCGTCTGAGCTCAAATTGAAGCGACCGAGTTTGGGAGGATCCGGCCACCGATGAAGCCCACCTGCGTTTGGGCAAAGTCGTCTTGATAGTCGTCCTGAGATAGCCCACTGCATGTGTGATTTTGGGAATGTGTAATTTGTTGTGTGCTTGTTTTCTTATCTTACTTGCATTCTATCATACACTGACAGGAACCAATAATATATCTGGCTGATTGCTGCTGTCTCAAAAAGCATTGCTCAATGAGCCTGCCACTCTGTAATTGTGCGCACCAAAGCGATCAAAACAATCAGTGACATCATGTCCACATTCTCAATCTATCTTGCACGCACCTCAACCGGAGCGTTGGTTTGAACATGTTTGAACTGCCCCTAGCTTGAACCGATCCCTCCATGTCTGTAAACCAAAAAACATCGACGCGAAACCGGGCCCATCATTTGTCGAGTCCTCTGCCCAGGGCAGGTGAGGTTCTCCGAACTCTCTGCTGGAAGCTGTGCTGTGGCGCCTCGCTGTGCGCAATCGGAAGGCGCCGCTCGGGCTTGCAAGATGGAGCAATCCAAGTGACCACCTGTTCTACGGCCTCCATTTCGGGCTATGCAAATAAGTATTACATCTCTATCTAACTAAGATGTCCTTTAGATGGGGGTCCATATAAACCACCTCTTGGAGTCTGTGCCATCTACTCTCAATCGACTATATTGTCCACTATAGTAAATCTTACTAAGACTCCACAGCGAGACCTTCTGATCGGAGCACTTTGGGACTTGTTCCCCACTTTGCCACGTGTGCACGGGCGGGAGAAGGGTGTGAGGTCTCCCACAGTCAATGCTACATGTCCCCCACGCTGGGATCAGGGCCGACCAGTCTCCCAGGGATCATGGAGTCTTCAGTCTTGAGGATCACTCCCACTACAAGGCTGTCATTGAGTAGAGGGCTGTCATTGAGTCTTGAGTCTTTGCGGTTGTGTGTCTGGAGCGTCAGCTTTTGTAACCCTCAGCCACCCCTTCGTGGTCGGGTAGAAAGTGGAAGCACCACATCCACACCAGAGTCTCCAGAGAGTGCAGGTGGAAGAAAAGAGACCAAAAAGGGGCGATTTCGAGACTTGGCCCGCAGGACGGGCTTTGCAGGAAGAGGGCACGGCGACCCCGAGAAAAAGGACCCCTTGGATCCCCTTGGCAGGGACCAGTATTTGGGCGATTTTCTTCTGCACGAAAAAAGGTCGCCAAAGGGGGTGCCCGTAGCCGTCCAAGACTTAAGACCCCCGCTAGAAGGCAGGGTGCCCAAGCAATAGACCTATGTAGACCTATCCAATCCCTCTGTTCCTCTAGCTGCAGCTCCACGCCGTTGGAAAGGGCCTCTGAACGCGGGCATGGTGCTCATGAGCTTCTGGCAGATCGTGAGCTTCTTCGTGAGCTGGCTCTACTTCGTCACGGAGACCCTCCTGCAGTGTTCATCCGATGCAAACAACGGGCACATGAGACGCCACGGCTGTGCGAACCTCGATGGTGTCGCCTGATCAACGAACTAGCCTCCGAAACCCAAGGGCTTGGGTCTTCCTCCAGGGTTTTCAACCAGGACCTTGTAAGCATGGGCAGCTTACACAGAGTCCCCACCCCTAGCCAAACCGGGGCCCCGGGCGATTTGGTGGATCACCATCCACAACGGAACCGGGTCATACCATATCTTACCATTAAAAATATTGCATGCTTATAGCAACTTATAAATTGTAAGTGTTCTCTCTCTCTCTCTCTCTTTTCTGGCCTGGAACTGTTTATGATAGAGCACATGTAGTGGGCTACCGCAGCTAGTGGTGAATTTGGCATGCCAAGTCACACATGTCAAATTAACACTGGTTCTTATGCTAGTATGGCAGTGATGCCTAGAGTGCAAAAACAACTGATGCACCTAACAACACCCAACCAACAACTAATAGACTCTGGGTGGAAGCTAAGCTATTCCAATCTCAATCATGTTCCTCATTGACCGCCCTGACTCCGTCCTGGGCCAATGGGTCTACCTGGGCGCTGTAGCCCTCCTCTGCCCAGGGCAGGTCAGGCTCTTCGAACTCTCTGCTAGAGCCTCTACTCCGATCCTCTCCAGGCAGCACCCGCCTCAGTGCAGTGCTCGGAAAAAAGACGAGCCGCGGGAAAATAAGAAGAGAACGGACCCTGCTCGAACAAAACACCTATAATAGTTATTGGGGAATTGTTCAGGATGATGGATGATGGATTGTGGAGCCCCTCCAGGTCGAAGAAGGGATCGAAGGCCTTCATCCCGAGAGCCGAGAGGTGCCCAATGGATCAAAGATGATCCATGTATCTTGAACATCCTGAAAACCCAACCCCCATGACCTTTGCCCAGAATCTCCCAGGGCTGTAAGGGGCAACCCTTATTTGGGCGGATTAGCGTGCACCGTGCCTTCATAAAGCTTGACCAATCAATAAATAGCTTGATCGAATTAGGCCCAACCCCTCAAAGAACGCACCCCGGACTCATGACAACTCCACGAATGCACCAACGGCCTGAAAAACGACGGTTGCTTCTTCGGTGGATTTGCGGTCTAAGCTGCGGTAACAGCAAGACCGGCCTTGTTCTGCTGTTAGGGTCAGAAGCTGTGGTCTAACAGGAAATCACTTGATAATTACCGCATTTGAAAGGTCCTCATCGATAGAGCAAGAAGCCATTTCTTCCATTCCATGCAGGAACATGGCCGGGTAAGATCATGCAAGATCTACTTCTCTGCACGATCCACCACGATCAACGTTTCTCACTACGAAACCCTCCGAGAAAAACAAAAAGGGCGAAATCAGTAAAAAAGTGACTCGCGGGAGGTCTGCTCTTGATCTTCACCTTCGTCATCCTCCTGCGGGCTGAGATTTGTGCGCTTTCGGTCCACTCAGCTGGTAGACCTCCAAGTCAGCTAAAGCAAGCCAACCAAGACGACATGGGGAAGAATTTCCACGAGCCCCAAACACCGAAAAGAATCCCCAAAGAAGGCTGGAAAGAGCACCTGGACACATTAACCCAAGATCCACGCCAGCAAGCAAACCCAAGGGGTTGCAGGCTCCTCGTGAACCCTCACTGCAGGAGTCCAAGGAGTCTAGTAGCGATGACCTCCCACCTAGTAGCAATGGCCTCCAACCTAAGAGCGATGGCCTCCAACCTAATAGCGATGGCTTCCAACCTAATCGCAATGTCCTCCAACCTAATAGGAATGGCCTCCAACCTACTTGCGATGGCCTCCAACCTACATTATGTTTTTTGCTTGCTTTGGTAGAACTTGTCATCTTATTCATGTTCTACCGTTGGACAAGAATGGTGTGTGTGGAGCATCGGCTGCAGCAAGGAACCCCCCAAACAACACCACCAGCCTCGAAGGCCTCTTCCTCGGACCTGGGCCAGGTGGAGGCTTTGTGGGCGAGGTGATCTGACATGACTTGAAGAGGGGATCTCTCGCGTGGAGATTCCTGCAGAGACTCCTTTCCGGAGCAAGTTGAACATAGTGGCGACCCCTGAAACAAGTACGACCCCCACGACTTACTCTGGGGGAGATGATTTAATTTGAGATTGGGAATGACTCATCTTTATACATGTATACAAATATATATATATATGGACCCCCGCCGTGATCTACCTAGAGCTGTTTCCTGTGGGCCTGCCAATACAAACGCTATGTTTTGACCCTATCAAAAATCAGTGCTCCTCCTCCTTAGCTGACGACTACAAATGCGTGGCCAAACGTGCTCAAAAACCTGCTGTGTTTGATGATCTTTAAGAACAATCATAAATACATTTAAACGTACTGAAAACCTTGTGTTGTCCAAAGCAAAAACAACAAAACAAATACTGTTCGGAAAGTCTTGTTCCAGGCTTGTTTTGTACTCTTCCCTGTTGTTTTGTTTTGTGCTTTTGTTTGTTTGCTTATTTGTTCTTAGTCCCAGGTTGGCAACAATACACTATTATTGTTTTTTTGCTTATTTGTTCTTAGTCCCAGGTTGGCAACAATACACTATATACTGTAGTACTATGTGCTTCTTTTAATCAATGTTTTAAACATAGAATACACCTATACAAAACAAAATACAAACCAAAAAGCAACAACAAAAGCATAAAAATCTGACACCAAAAGTATGGACACATATTTGTTTTCGTTGTTTTTGTTGATATCTGTTTTACTCCGTTTGATGTCTTTTGATTGCCTGATTGCCCTTTAAGCTCTTCAGTTGATGTCTGTTTAAACTCACTTCTTAAATCTTGTCAAAGCATTGCAACACTCTATTCCACACAGAAAAGCAGCTGACAAGCAGGAACAATCGAATAGAATAGCTGCAAAGTATGAACCGTGGAAGAGCTGAAAAGCAGGAACAGGTAGATCATGGGGGGTTGTGAGCATACATCTACACACACATATAGAGATATATGCACACATCAATGGACCTTATGTGTGTCTACTGGTCATCCCGAAGTGTAGGGCAGTCCAGCCAGGACACCCAAACAGGATGGTCCTGGTCTGAATCCTGGTCCTAACCGAACGGCTCCCAGCTAAGACCGCACATGGTTTGGACCAAAAGTGGAGAATGCGAAGGCAGTGCCAGTTCTGGGAAGTAAATCAAGCCTCCAACAGCCCAACAAAATTACATAAGGCATTTGGTTGGGTCTAGTCCATTCTGTTCAACCATGATCTGCCCTCCATTTCTACCACTACTGCTCGTCTCCCCCGCATTTCTTGAAGACTTGCATAGCCTCCCACGCACCCACCCACCCCCGATGTGCTGCTCCTTGCCCAAAACACTCCATGTGACTGATAATATATTTACAATACATTTGGGGTGCTTGAAAAGGGTCAATGTAGTTTGTAGCCAGAAGCTACTATACTAGCGATGCACTTGTTACGAACGTAGCTTCTTGCTAGTAGCTTGTACATCCATAGTATGCCATGGGCCTCAGGATGCCTCACGAATCATCCCAGCTCTTGTCTTGGTCCCAGTCGCTCCCCAAAGGTATCCTCGTAGTCCTCTGGATCTTCGGGCTCGTGGGTGGAGGGTGAGACATCCATGAGTGTCTCAGGCCATGTCAGGGCCAAAGACAGCCACTGCAGCCAAAAAGATTGCAGCACATGGGATGTGGTCTGGTGATGTCTCGTGTTGTCCACACATCTCTTGGCACTTTGAAAGATGGAATGTTAATGTTCGCAAAACAGTGTGAGTTGCAACAGATGGAGCCGCAAAACTTAAGCGATTCAGGAACGAAAGACACACACATATATATATATATGTAATTATATGTACACATATGCAGTAACAATCCATGCACATGACATGTTGTCCTTGCACCAATGGCATCCAGGCTCAGTTGGTCCGTTGGTTACTTGCACTTCTGGGATTGCTCCAGCCCGGTAGTTATCATCTTGTGGTGTCCAAGATTCGAGCTCTGAAAACTGCTCCACCAACAATGCCAACCAACCGCAAAGGGGAGCAAAAGCAGGGTTCCGTGGTTCCAACTGCGACCCCGGGGCCCGCACGGACCCGCACGCGGGGGTCCCGCACGGATCATATTCTCTCGAAGCAAATCCGTCAAGCGTCACTGTCGCCGCTCCCCGACAGCTCTCAGCACTCTGACAGGCAACGGGCTAGCTTCGGGTGGCCTTTGGGGGAGGTTTTGGAAAAAGCTACGGCACCAGCTACAGCATACAATGCAGCAGCATCTTAGTGACTGATGAGACACTAGTGATGAACACATATATACTTACTGTAAAACCAGTGATTTTTCTTCCCAGCCTTTCTACACATCATAAATTCAGTCCCACACCATACAACAGTCTTTCGCACTGTCCATCTAAAACCATGATCAACCATGCCTTTGCTCATGAGCAACTCACAAGGATGATCAAAAAGGACACTTTGCCTGAAGGGGGAGAGCAGCCTCCTAGGTGGGTTGCTTCATCGGCATATTTCTCTGCATGGTCCTTCACCGTTTGGTAGTATCATGATCAGGCGATGGACAACGTGACGCTATGTAAGATTGATCATTGATCTTGTCTCATCAAATGGTGCCACCTACGGACGGTCTGCCTACGGTCGCCCACATCTGAACATATGCAGGTCTGTGAACGTAAGCTGAAAGCGAGGCCTTTGAAAGCTGACGAAGTGAGAACTGTGCTCTCACCATGGCACACTCGCAGTCTCCGCAACAAGTGCCCAGGGCACACTCCGAGCGATGAAGCGCACAAAATACGCGGCTGAGTGGTGCTTGGGTCAGGACATCTTGCTTTGAAGTTTTGTTCAAGTAGATAGATAAGCGCTGTTTCCACTCGTATCCAGACCCGTGATGTCCTCATTGCGTCCAAGTATGGATGCACATAGTCCCGGAGAATTCCGGGCCGCTCTTTGAGCATACTCATAAATGCCCATCTTTCCATGGTATGGAGCCACTACCTGCCTTTTGACTAAGACTCGCACTTTAAGACTGGCAATTGTGGTCCTGGATGCGGGGTCAACATATCCAGAAACATGTGTTGTGCCACCAAATCAAACAAACGTGCATCTTTGGGGTACGTCGTATTGACACGATAATCGGCATGACCAGAAAGACTGACTTCAAACTTACTTACTATCATGCGCCAATCAGAGCTCCTTGCCTCGTTCCCAAGGCTCTAGAAGTCAAATGTCTTACGCCGCGTATGCCCTACAGGCTTTGCATTGAGGAAGTGCCCCCTCAAAAAAAAAACACGGGTGAGGTCAGTTGAAAGACTTGCAAATACTTCTGGCACGGGTGCCTACAGGAGTGACTTTGTAGAGGGGGCACCTTGTCTAGATTGCAGCTGGATGTCCATTGGTGACAGGAATTGCCCGAACCATCCCGAACCTATTCTTGCTTTCAACTTCTGTCACTGCTGCAGGTCATCCACCCCAGGACCCCAGTTGGCTCGTTCTGACAATGCACATGCACGCAACAAGTTGATATCATTAATGGGGGTCAATGGAGGGCAAAACCATTCAGGAAACACACGGTCGCCGCTGGAAAGTCGCAACAGGATTTCTCTGATTTACACTCAGTCTGTCAGTGAATCTCAGCTATGACCTTCAGAAGCAACCATACAGTATATCCGCCGGCCTGCCGGCGTGTTTTGTGGATTGTTTTGGTTAGTATTGCTTGTGTTGGTTTCAATCTACGGTTTGTATCTCCGCGCGGATTTTTCGACCGCCTGGCCCCCCCCCCCCCCTCCCTATGTCGAAGGTGATTGGACTGAGACATGTCGATCGCTGGATCGCTGGATCAGAATAGACAACCTCTGATTCGGATTCGTTCCATTTCATGGTCAAACAACCTTGAAATAAACATCAACAAACTCTCCCAGCAAAATGTGCAACTCCAATGCACCCACAAGTCTGATTGAGCAGGGTATTGTTGTTCGATGTCATTCTGGCTCTTTCATTGCAATCGGTTTGGAGAAAAAACGACAAATCATGCCAGATCTAGAAATTCTTCGGTCGCTTTG